CTGTTCTGGGCCCGGAGGCCGCCCTGGGGGGCTCGGCGAGGCGTCCCGCGGTGAGGGGCCGGGGTGCGGTTAGGTAAACAGCTGCACGCTCCATTACCCAGAACGCTCTCCAGACGGAGCTGGAAGAGGGAAGGGCTGGCCTGCCGGCCAACTGGCTTGCAAGGAAAGCAAATCGATCATGCAGCTGACCCATCTTGGACGGAGCAGGCCTCTCCCGGCAGCAGGAGGAGTCCCGGCTGAAATCCCAACACCTGAGCAGCGCCGGGGAGAGCACAAAGGGCACACGTTGTCAGCAGGCTGGAGGCGCAGGGGACAGAGCACCAGCTAGCAGGGGCTTCTCGGGGCCTCTGGTCCGTACAGACACCTCCTGCCTCTCAGCTTCTGCTGAGTGGGAGGAGGCACACGCAGGGAAAATGATGACCCACCCCCCTCCCACCCCCCGAGGGCACTGCCACGTTCAGAACTGGGGCCCCAGAGGGGACAGAAAGGCAGGACAGAGGAGAGGCCAGGGCACAGACTACAGAACTGGACTCCGGGTCCAACTCTGGTCCTGTGGTTACTGGCTGAGTGACTTTGGGCAAATCACTTGACCTCTCTGGTCTTGCTTTTTCCTCTATGAAACGAGCACAGAGGCTCCTCCCCACACAGGGTTGTGATGAGGACGTAGTAAGTGTGAGCACAGGTGAAGCAGTGGCACCAGCTGGCACATGGAAAACATCCTATTCAGGCATCATCACCATCATGTCCCCAGTGCCATCTCCAGCAGCCTGGTCAGCTGTGCCCACTAGCTCTGAAGAGAAGGACCACCATTCTCCACCCCCATCGGAGAGGTGGGGGCCAGGGACTGCAACATCGGAGCCGGAGGGTGACTGTAAGAGACCCCGCATAGCCTCCAGGGCCTCAGGGAGGGAGGGAGGGAGGAACACGCCTCCTATCCTTGCTGAACGTAAGCTGCTCTGACATCGCAAACCTTCCAGGGGAAGATCATCTACTGCAACGAAGGCTCAGAGAGGGCATACGTTGACTCAAGATCACACAGCCAGCTCCCAGCAGAATGACAATGAAAGCCAGGCCTGTCAGAAGGCCAACTCAAGGTCTTTCGGTGGCTCTGCAGAGCCTTGTGTGTGAGGGGGTTCCTCCCCGGGGAAGGGATGCCAGGACCCTGCAACGGTGGGCTGCACCCTCCCCTGCCCAGCCTTGCACAGCCCTCTCCGAGCGGCCAGCTCAGAGACATGGTGACTGCAGGGCAGGGTTCTCCGGGGCAAGGGGTCCAGCCAGAGAGAGAAGCCACAAACACACCCAAAGGGCACTGGTGACCCTCTCCTTTCTTTCCTTCTTCCTTTCCTCCCTTCCTTCCTTCTTCCCTTTCTTCCCTCCTCCCTCCCTTTCCTTCCCTCCTTCCTTTCTTTCTTCCCTCTTCTCTCCCTTCCTCCCTTCTTTCCTTCCTTCCTTCTTTCCTCCCTTCCCTCCTTTCTTCCCTCCTTCCTCCCTCCTTTCCTTCCTTTTTTCCCCTCCTTTCCTTCCTTCCTTCTCTCCTCCCTTCCTATACTTCCCTCCTTCCCTCCCTTCCCTCCTTCCCTCTCTCACATTCTCCTTCATACTATTTAAAGTTGTCACTAAGGAATAACTGCTAACGGGAAACAGCTGAGGCATTATAGAAGGCAGTATAGATGAGGCTCGGGAACATGCCGTCCCAGTTAAGTGGTTTCCCCGTGGCCACCCTCCAAAGCCCCAGCCACGCCCCCCAAATTCTCCAGCCACACACTAAAGGGAGACACAGCCGATGAACGTGAGAACCGAGGAATCGGGAGCTGGCGAGCGTGGCGGCCTCGGCCCCCTGGGTGGCTCAGCTGCCTCTTTGCCCAACAGTTCCTGCGCGCCAGTCCCTCCATAGCGCACCCAGCTCCCGCCAGCGCGCTCTCACCCCCCACCCAGGCTGGCACCGGGCATCCTCCTCCTGCAGTGCTCACAGCTCTGCAGGAGGCTGTTGTCTTGGTTGACTCTTTGTCCCCCTGACACTGAAGGCTCTGAACTTGCCACCAAGTCCTCGGTGTCTGGAGCAGCACCTGCCTCAGAGTAGGCACTCCGTAAATGCTGGCTGAATGAATGGGAGGCAGGGATGCAGGGGGGAAAGGCAGAGGTGGCATCTACTGTCAATCAGGTGCTCGCTTTTTTTTTTCAAATATATTTTTTTTATTGATTTTTTACAGAGAGGAAGGGAGAGAGATAGAGAGCTAGAAACGTCGATGAGAGAGAAACATCGACCAGCTGCCTCTTGCACACCCCCTACCGGGGATGTGCCCGCAACCAATGTACATGCCCTTGACCGGAATCGAACCTGGGACCTTTCAGTCCGCAGACCAACGCTCTACCACTGAGCCAAACTGGTTCCGATCAATCAGGTGCTCTTACAGGTGGGGTCTATGCTTTCCTTTTCCGTTGTCTAATCCAGCCTGAGACCCGCCCTGCTGCCTCCACCACCGACAGGCCCGCCAGCCTCCCCATCCCCCTGCCTTGCTGCCACTGCCAGGCCCTGGGGGGATCTGTTCCTGGCCTGTTCCACGCCTTCTTGTAAGAACGTTTTATTGCTCCCCTAAACCCAACGTCCTTTTCCTGACTTCAAGGCTTCTAGTTCCTCCATCCTTGCTTCCCCTTCATCTCTCCTCCACCACAATGGGACGGACTCCAGCCCATCCAAGGCTGCATGACTCCTCCTCACCTCTGTGCCTCTCCTCCTGCTTTACCTCACTCCACCCCATGAATAGGACTTAGGGATCAGAAGACCTGGGCTCAAAAGCCATCTACATGGATCGTTCACAAGGTCATCTGACTTTTCTGAGTCTCGACTTACTCATCTATAAAATGGGCATCATCAGGCCTCCTAGGGCCATGGTGAGGAGTTAAAAAAAAGGAATGGTGTAAAAGGCAGCCTGACACTCAGCCTTCCCGAACGCATGCTGACCCCTTCTGGACAGACACCAGCCTGCGTGCTCTTCCACACCAGGCTCCCCCTAATGCCCACCTCCCTCGCAGGACTGTAGCTTCTTTTGTTTCCTCGGGCTTCTATCCATCGAGGCCGCCGGTTGGCATCTCATCAATCCTGATGAGCGAGCAAATCAACATGAGAAAACTCAGCCCAGTGTGGATGCTCTGCAGAAAACACGTTGTCGGGGAGGCCCCATCGACAGCCCTCTGATTACCCTATGGCACACTGTCATACCTAAAACCCACACCCAGCCGGCAACCCCAGAGCCTTGTGGAAGATTAACCTCGAAAACACTGCCCCAACACGTTGGGCGGACATGGTCCCACTACGATTCAAGCCCTTGACTTTCCGCGAGTGTTTAAATTCCCCCGTTCATTCAGTTCTCGCAATGACCCTACGAGGCGAGTGACAGAGATTTCCCCTCCTCAGCCAAGGAAACGAGCGCGGCGAGGATACTAAACGGACTCACTGGCACTGGTTTCTCAGAGAAAGGAAGAGATTGGAACCAAGGTCTGACCTGCTCCGAAGCTGGGCTCTTGTCCCAGGGCCAGCCCCTGCGGAAAGTGCAATCCTCCAGATGTCCAGCAGTAGGCGCCACAGAGATCTACCACCCACCACCAATGAGAGGACATACCACCCAAGTCCCCAAAGGCAGCTCTGAAGTCCAAAGCAACCTCGGTGGAGAAGCCATGGACAGAGCCTGAGGAATGGAGAAGCCAAAGACATGACGAGGGGAGCAGGGGAAGGGACAGGGCAAATTTGAACCATGTCACTTTATCAATATTTGGTTGTTTGTTTATTTATTTCAGAGAGGAAGGGAGAGAGAGAGAAAGGTAGAAAAATCAATGAGAGAGAATCACTGATTGGCTCCCTCCTGCACACCCCACCCTGGGGACCGAGCACTCAACCCAGGCATGTGGCCTGACTGGGAATCGAACCGTGACCTCCTGGCTCCTAGGCTGACACTCAATCACTGAGCCACGCCGGCCAGGCCATGGGCCAGGTCACTTAAAAGGTGCCACACACATGGACACAGGGGAGGCAGGACCAGGACCTTCCAAACAAACGGAATGGCTATTCCCGAACAGACCAGAGACAGCCTTCCCCATTCCCACATCCTCCTGCCGGGCCCTCACCAGCGGCGACCGCGACAGGCGTCTGATGGAAACAAGCCTGTCTGCCTTTGGTAGACATCGGGATTCCTGGCCCTGGGTGGCCTCCGTGGTGATCTCAGTTCACGGATACCCATTCAGACCCACCAGGGGCAGCTCCTGCCCCAGCCTCTGCAGAGCCAGATCCGGAATGAACTGAGCCCTGTCTGGCTCCTCCTGGGCAGGCAGCGTGAAGGCAGGCGCCTTATAAACAGGGCCAGCGCCAGGCCTCCTGCCTCCTCCGGCACAGCTGACTTACAGAGAAGAAAGACTCACTTCCCACTGCGGGAAAAAACTCTGTTTGGGCCACTGTCCTCCTGGGTACCAAAACCCCCACATCTGGAACTCTTTCTATCTGCTGTTAAGCAACCAGAGTCACAAAGGAAAAGTGTGAACTTGGATGGAAAACTCTGGAAAAGCTGAGCCACCGGGGAGCTAGCGTGAAGGGGAACTTCCACCTCTGATGTGTTTGAAAACCGGGTAAGCACGGAGACCTCTCGGTGACCTGCGTGGCTGGACTAATTACCAATGTTATCAGGCGGATGACAGACATGCCCCGAACTTCCTCTGTTTGGTAGATCCTGCTGCAAACACACACTCAAGTTCAGGCCCATGCTTGATGCTTTCAGCGGTGCCCTATTCTTCCACAAGACCACTCCTGGCCCCCAACTCCGCTGAGCATGTGCGTGCCTCTGAGCCCAGCCACGCCGGTACATCCACCGAGCACCAAGTCAGCAGGCGGGGCCCCTCCTGCTGGAACACACCACACAGAAATCAGTGCTAACTCCTGGCCAGAGACACAGAACAAACACATCTCTTCTTTCCCTGCCTGGATTTCAGAGGATGAGAGAACCGCGGCTTACCTTTGTCGCCGTGGCCACCGGGGAGCTCCAGCCCACGGGTCCCTGGCGGGCGAGCCCTTGGCCAGCACACACCAGGGTCCCACACTCCACACAGGCGCCGATGATCAGCTGCCGCCCGTCGTCCACCAGCAGGCTGCGGCTCGCGCGCAGGGTATAGAGAAACAGGGGCAGCCGGGCCACCCGCACAGCCTTCAGCCCCAGACACCGCTTCCTCTCCTGCTGGCAGAAGAAGCACACAAACGTGTCCACTTGGTACTGCCGGGACCAGGCGCTGACGGCGTGGTGGGCGTTGCGCGCCTCGTGCTGCAGCCACTGGCCCAGCAGGTCGTGGTAGCAGAGCACGCAGGTGGCCACCAGGCCCGTGGAGTCGGCAGGCCTGGCGCGCGGCGCAGGCGGGTACACGGTGAGGAAGGGGAAGAAGGGCTCCTTTTCGCCCAAGCGGCTGGAGGGGTTCACGTTGAGCTGGAACTCCTTCCCGGGGCCCAGCTCGGTGCCGCAGATGTAGCAGACGGACACGGCGGCGCCGGCCTGGGTGGAGGCGGGCAGCTCAGAGAGAGCCGGGTCGGAGGCGGGGAAGGCCTGGTGGTACCTGCCCAGGAAAGCCTGCACGGACGTGATGAGCTCCTCATTCTGACAGGCCCGGTACAGGGCCCAGATGTCCTCCAGGACGCTGAAGCACTTGGGGCAGCTCCGAACCTCACAGCGCTTGTTGGGGCCCCGGGCGTTGGGGGGGCAGGGCAGGAGGCTGAGGAAGGGGAAATGCATGGTGCTCCTGGCGTTGCCGTTTAGGATCCTGGAGGCTACAGTCCGGGCATCAGGGGTGCAGTCCTCCCCACAGAGGTAGCAGGCCTCTGGCAGGGTCCCCGAGGGCGCGCCCTCCTCCCTGGGGAGCCTCCTGCCCTTGGAGGCCATGCCGGGGGCGTGGCTGTTCAGAGGCACCACGTACAGTCTCTGCAGGACGGGCACGCTGGCCAGCTCGAAGCTTTGCCACTGCTGCATGAGGGAGGAGAAGCAGCAGGGACACACCAGGGTGCTGCCACCCTCGCTGATGGGCTGAGCCCCGGGAGGCGGGCTGTGCAGCCACAGGAAGGGAAAGAAGGGGGCCTGAGCCAGCTTCTCCTGCTTCTGCACGTGGATCTGGTGCTGGGAGGCCGGGGACAGCGCCGACCCGCAGATGTAGCAGCAGAGGCCCCCTGCTGGCGCAGCGCGGCTCTCTGGGGGAACCCGGGGGACACCGCCACCGGCTCCCTTCTCTTTGGGGCCACCACAGGAGCTGGGGAGAGACGGCTCCTTTCGGTCCTCCTCCTCGCTGGTGATGTTGATGTCACTGTCCTCGGATAGGCAGTAGCCTCCTCCCCGGGGCTCCCCCAGGGGCCTGCTCTCCAGCGTCTTGGCGGCCCTGCCCGGAGGGGCTCCTCTTATGCCGTCTGCAGGGGCCACGGGGGCTGGAGGGCCTGGCCACGGGCCTTGAATCCCTCTCAGGACACTGGCCCGCGCCTCGGGGACCCAGGGCCTCCCCACGCCCTTTCTCCGGCGCCTGATGCCGCCGGGCTTGGGCTCTCCGTCCACGTGGAGCTTCGAGGGGTCCCCTTCCTGCTCCTCCTCCACGTCTCCCAGCTCCGGGGTCCCGGCGGCGCTCTGTCCCGGAGGGGGTCCTGGCGCCGCCGCCGTCCTCCACTCCTGGCCGCGGCCCCCTCGAGGCGGCCCAGTCCCCGGCCCCAGAGCGGTCCGCGCCGCCGCCAGCGCCCCGTCCTGGCGGGGGCTCAAGGCGTCGCGCGGGACAGGGTCCGGGTCCGAGAGGGGGTCGGTGTCCGACAGCTCGGACAACTCCGAGTCTCGAGGCTCCTCAGCGGAGACTCGGGGGCCGCCGCCGTCCTCGTCGTCGTCGTCGTCGCCGCCGGCCGCGCCGCCCAGCGCGTAGGCGACGTTCCACTCGCGGGGGGCCCCCGCGCCCCCGCGCCGCCCGCCCGCGCCCGCGTCGCACTGGTGGGGCCGCTTGAGCCAGTACATGCGCTTGTCCACGGGCGTGCGGGCGCGCTCGAAGGCGGCCCACTGCTCGCCCAGGAAGCAGCGGCACACAGCGCACACCAGCACGCAGCCGTCCGCCGGGCACAGCTCGCGCGCGCCGGGCGCCGGCTCCTGCTGCTGCAGGAACGGGAAGAAGGGCTGCGCCGCCGGGGCCCCCGCGCCCCCCGCGCCCGCCGCCGGCTGCTTCACCTGCAGCTTCAGCTCCTTGCCGCGCCCGATGCCGCCGCCGCAGATGAAACAGGAGAGCGGCGCGCCGCCGCCGCCGCCGCCCGCCGCCCGCTCGCCCACGGCGGCCATGAGCCGCTGCTTGCGGGAGACCGGCCGCCCGCTCATGGCCGCCCCGCGCCGCCCGCCCTCAGCGCCCGCCCGCGCCGCCGCCGCGCCCAACTTGGAGCATGTGTGCGCGCCGCAAAGTTTGGCGGCGGGCGGCCGGCGCGGGCGCGGGAGCTCGGCCGCCGCTCACTGGGGCGCCCCCCCCGTCCCCCGCCCGCCCCCGGCCCGGCCCGCCCAGCCCCCGGCGGCGCCGCGCCCAGCGCGCCCGGAACGCAGCGGCGGCGGCGGCGGCGGCGGGCCCCGGGCGGCTGGAGCGGCAGCCGCATGTGCGAGCTCGGCGCCTGCCAAAGCGTTGGGTCATTTAATTGGGGAGGAGGGAGGCGGGAGGGCGGAGGAGAGCGGAGGGAGGGGAAGGGAGGAGGAGAGCGGGCGGGAACCAGCGGGCAGGGAAGCCCTCCCTCCTCGCGCGCCCTCCCCTCCTCCTCCTCCTCCCCCCCACTTCTCTCCCCCTTTCCTCTGCTGTCCCCCCTCGATCCTCCCCCCGCGTCCCAAACTGCGCACAATAGCGCGCCGGCTCCTCTATCTATTTTGTGTCCAGCCGGGAGCCGCGCGCGATGATTCATGGCCCCAATTAGGGGCTCTCTCCAGCGCGCCTGGCTGGAGCTGTCTGAAGGGTCTCCTCGGGGGACCCACGGAAACCCATCAGCGGCTACAGCTGGTGTGTAAGTAAAGGTCAAGCAGGACGCAGGAGCCAGGTAAGGAAGTGGCTGGTGTCCCCTGAGACGAGTCAGCGGGGGAGCTTTTTTTGGGGGGGGGGGAGCAGCCTCAGTCCAGGAGCCAATTTCACTCAGGGTGCTATGGCCCCCTCCTCCTCTTTCCAAAGGGCCATTTACAGCCCTCCGCAGCCCAGAGTTGGGGGCACTTTCCAGGGCCCAGTGTTCTAAATTTGGAGGCAGAGGAGCCATCGCGTCTCCTGGAACACGTTAGTAAACGCACCATGGGGGGGGGGGGGGGGGGGGGGGCGCAGAGGCATCCGCCTGACACACCCCTCTGCACCACTCCCCGGGGGCAGAAAGGGTCCTGTGTGTCCAGAGCTGTGTGTTCCAGGGCAAGTGACTCTACAACTCTGGGGCCTTTCTTCCTCTCATTAAACCGGAGCTCTGACAGGGGATTCACTGTTTCCATGTAATTATCGTGTATGTGAATAGATGCATTGTATTTATTTAATACACAGAGAGAAACCTTAGCAGCATGCGCCAAGGTTCTTTTTCTAAGCACTTTATTTATTTAGTTATTTAGTTATTGTTAATCCTTAACGGAGGATTGATCCCCCCCCTCTGATTTTTAGAGAGAGCAAACGAGAGGAAGTGAGAGAGATACGTAGATTGGTTGCCTCCTGCATGCCAGATACCTGTCCTTGAACGAGGAATCAAACCCTCGAGCTTAGGCTCTAACCACTGAGCACACTGGCCAGAGCTTTTCTAAGCACTTTATATGCACCAGCACGGTTACTCCTCCCGGTGACTCTGGGTTAGCGTGTGATGGAAAGCCTGTTTTGCGGTTGAGAAAGAGGAGGCACAGAGGCACTCCTTTTCCGGAGTGCTGGGGCTGGGAGTCAGACCCTGTGCAGCCTCGTCAGGCAAACATCTGGCCCCCATCACCCCCTTTCTGCTGATCGAGATGGTCTATGGTAGGAGACACGGCAAGGACCCCTCCGTAGGCCCTGCAGCTCCGGGAGGCTGGGAGGCCTTGGCACATCCAGGCCTTTCTGGGCCTCGCATTCCCCATCTGTGAAATGCCACCCCTTCCAGCCTAAAAATTCTATGAGTCTCTGATTTCTGAGCAGGTGACAGCTGTCCTGGCCTGCCAGCTGGAGCCCAGAGTGAGCCTGGGGACAAAGGTGCCATGTGGGCCCCTGTGCCCTCTGGGGCACTGACATGTAAATAAAACTGGGCTTCCTCGGGTGAGGAGGAGGGCCATGCCTTATAAATAAACGGGACAAGAGGAAAGGGCCACCTCTTTGGAAACCCTGGTGGATATTCCAGGGGTCACAGTCCAGGGGAGAACAGGAAAGTCAGCATCATCGCCAGAAATGCAAAAGGCAGGCCTTCCCCGAGGCTCATGAAAAAAAGCTGTATCAGCCAAATTGCCCCGAAGGAATGTTGGAGGCAGGGCAAGGGGTTTCCCTGCTTCTGGCATTTTTAATACCTGGGGAGAGGAGGTGGACTGGTTGGGAAAACTTTAAAGGGTGAGGCCTGTTTGATTGCATCCTCGCACAAGGAGGAAGCCTCACACAGACCAGGAGTTGCTGGTAAAGCTAGGCCAGCTTAGGCAGTGCAGGTCCACGGTGGGGTTCCTGGTGGGCTCCTTAAGGCTCGCACATGCTGTGCCTTCCACCTCCAGTGCCTTTCCGGGCTCTCTGTCCCTCTTCTCTTTATGGCCTTGGCTGCACTATCTTCCCGGGGAGACTTCCCTGCCTTCTCCATTTCTAGTCGGTCCCTCCTGTTATTCTCTGACTCAGCTCATTGGCACAGGAATTTGCTGTTGATTTTCTTTTCTGTCGACTGTTCCCTGTCTATGCTCCTTTCCCCGAGCAGGAATCAGGTCTGTCTTGCTCTCCGTGGATAGCCTGGCCCATCCTTCTCTAGTAGAGTGAGCCTAGGGCAAACCTCTTAGCTCTCTAACTCTCAGTTTCCTGCTCTGTACAATGGGATCTGGACCCTCACCAGATCTTTGTGTGGGGGCCAAATGAGGCAGAGAGGGCCCGATGCTCTGGGCACAGGGCCTGGCACATTGTAAGTGACAGTGTATGGGTGTTGACTCTGCCTGGCTCTATCCACTGTTGAGGAGGTTCTACTACTGCCTGTCTGCAATCTGAGGTGAGGGGGACACTGTGATGAGATCCCACACAGTGTCTGAGGAAGGAGAGCCACAGGAATCAATGGGATAAAAAAAGGGAGGTGGCGTTTTCTTGGCTAAGCCGGAATCATTTAGTACGTGCCACATGTGTGAAAGTGTGTGTATGCATGTGCTGGTGTGCATGTGTGTATGTATTCATGTGCTTGTGTGTATGGGTATGCATGCATTCAAGTGTCTCTGTGTATTTGTGTTTGCATGTGTTGGTGTGTGCATGTGCGTATGTACATGTATGTTCATGCATGTCCCTGTGTGTGCATATAAAGCAGGCAAGGAGCAGGAGGAGAGAAGCATCCAGGTGGATGTTTTATTTCTCTCTATGACCCAGTGACTCAGGTAAGTTCCCTGCCACACATCTCAGAAGCCGGGCACAGATCTCAGAAGGAGGAAAGCAGGTGGTGGTGGTTGGTGATCTGTCCGTGGATGGCATCTGGGTGGGGCCACTAGCACAGATTAACATAGCAGATTAACACCTCGGTTCTGCCTTTTACTAGCTGTGTGGCCTTGACCTGCAACTTAACCTCTCTGAGCCTCAGCTTTCCTACCTGTAAAACAGGGATAATAAAACAACGTACTCCATAGAGCTGGGAGGAGGATGGAGTGAGACAGCCCAAGTGAAGCACTCTCTCTAAACTCAGAGGTGACCGTAGTTTGGCATATGGGTGGGATGTGAAGTACACACACAGACCTGTGCCTTACAGATGCAAAGACACAAATCTTAACTGTGATCCAGTGAGGTAGGTTCTGTTACATCCCCAGTTTACAGGTGAGGAGACAGGCACGGGGAAGGGCAGTGAAGGCCCAAGGTCATGAAGGTTGGTGGCTGGACCGAGGCACCATGTCTCCATAACCCCCTTAGCTTTGCCCTAAGTCTGAGATGCCAGCTTGTTAGGGCAGGAAGGGCAGAGCCTTGTCCTCCCTCTCCTCACATGTGTCCCCCATTTCACAGGTAAGGAAACTGAGGCCCTGACAGGTTTGTGCCCGGACACAACATCTGTATTAGTGTCACATGCCAACATAGTCTCAACGCTCCAGTTTCTAAGGGGGAAGTGAGGAAAGCTCATCAGGAACGAGCCACCAGATTATCCCAGAGCCACAGCCTCCCGGTCCCAGCAGAGCCCTCTCTTTGCTTCCCTGAGTCTCTCCACCCCGTTTGCAGCTCCCTCACACCGTGTGGTATGCGGTCCCAGCTCTCCCCATCTCTAGTCCTAGGACGCCAGTGCAGTGGACTTGAAAAGCTCCCACAGAGGCTCACAGGCAGACCTGGCTCTGGGGACTGGGAGGAAAGACCTGCCCCTCGGTTCTGCAGGAGACCAGAAAGCACTGGAGTGGAGCATCTCAGACGTGTGGCTTCCTGCAGGGCTGGCTCAGAAGCTTCAGGAACCTGCCCTCACCCTGCCGGAGAGTGCGCTTCCAGGCTCCGAGCACTTCGCACAGGTGATTCTATGTGTCTGTCCCTGAGCCTGCCTCTCCCACCAGAGCAGAGCCTGGGTGGCTTCCCTTGTCCCATCCCACAGTGTCTCAAAGCCAGGGGCACAGCTGGGGCCCCATCCCTGTTTGCACCTGGGTTGCCAGACTGTATCCCAAACCTCACCACACCCTCCAAGTTCCATAGTCGGGCAGCTCCTGCCACCTTCTCCTGCTCTGTCTTCTAGTCTCTTACTCTTCCCAGTGCCAGCAGTCCAGATCAATGCCCCGGCCTCTCCAGACCTCTTCCCCCACTTCCCTCCTCACTGGCCTTTGCTGTTTCCTCCCCCTCTACACTCTGCATGTACCCCTGGCATCCCTCCCAGGCCCATGCACCTTCCCAGGCTGGCCCATCCTACCTCTTTTAGAGGCTACGATGCTGTGTGTTTGGCCTGTAGCTCGCTAGGGACTAGAAAAACAAAATTTATCATCTGACTGCCCTATTTTTTTTTTCTTTTTCTATTATTTTCCCAAGAATGAAGCAAGCTCTTCCCTCCTCTCAGAAAGAGCTTCAAACATAGCCAGCTACTGGCAAAAGTATATTCTCCTTCTCAGAGGAGGAAATGAAATCGTTAACCATAAAGAAAAGCCAAATCTGGGATTTATGGAGGCCGTGGGTTTATGAACCATTTCACATTTATTAGGCTGTATGGCATGGCCACGCAGGAGTCTCCATCTCCATTTGAGAGACGAGGAGACTGAGGCTGAAGGGCACAGTGCCCGAGACCAAGGGGAGCTCCCAGCTGGCGGGCTGGTGGAGTCTCCTGAGAAAGATGTGTGTTTGGCGGCCCTAACTTAGCATCCCTTCTTTATTCAAATACA